TTATTATTATTATTATTATTAAATCAAAAGGATATTGAAACCTCTCTTGTGTTTTGAATATATCGCAAAATATTTATGCAAGGCTAAAACGGCTTCGGCCCTTCAAGGCACATTCTTATCAGTCGCGAAAACAGTTTATAACACAAATTTCCGAGCATTTCATTTCACGATGTCTTAGCTTAAAAAACATTTCTATTTTCACATGGTTAGAAAAAAAAGGTGTGATTATTTTTACATCATGTTCTGAGATTGTATCAAAAGTTCTACTTCGTTTAATGTCTATTTTCCGATGGTGTTATTAGTTGATAATTCAAGAGTTTCATTCCATTAATCCCGGATTTTGTTAGTTCTTATTTCCTATGCCACGACGATGAAGGAGGCTAAAATGAAACACTTTTTACCCTGGCCTTAGCGAATGCTGTTAAATGGTGTTTGAAACCTTTCATTTTCAGCTCAGGTAAGAGCTACTGGGAAACCGGAAGCATAAGGGAAAAAAAAAAAGATCAGAGGCATCCTGCTCTGTTTTCCGCAAAAAGTTATTTTCATCAGTGATGTACTCCATCTGTATAGGACGTCATTTAAACCTTTCAAATCATCTTCCGATTGATGCCAATAAATCACGTTTAAAATTATCTTTTCAGCTTCACTAAAACAGAGCAGTAATTGACGCCTAAAACGTTGATAAACCTATGATTTAAGTTTGGGATCAATCAGTGATGAAGATGATCGATCGATGTAAGCCATAGATTACTTGAATTAAAAATGCGTCAAGATTGTGTCGTTCGACAAAGACTTTTTATGTCAAAGCATCAGTTGAGTTGGTTGTCTCAGAAACACTTATTATCATCTTGTAGTACTCAGTAGTTTGGACGCCTAGAGGCGGATGTAGATAAACCATGTGTTTGTTTGAAGTTTCCAATTGAAAATGAAAGGGTTAAAATGTCCTGCTGTGGAAATCTTTAAGTGAGTAACATCATTCATCCCATTATTTAATTCTTTTTCAGTTCAGTCTTGTCACTTCATTTTGGTAGAATTGCAAATAGAAACAAAAACTTTCCCGAAAGCTCTTAGCTGAATTAATATGATTTGACTGTCTTTGACATGTATACGCGCTTAAACCATTGTCATGGCCACACCTGACTATTGCGAAAATAAATAAAACTGATCGGTATGCTTTGACGCCCTTTTACTAAAAAAATTAATTTCCTTATCCCACAAGTTTATTCTTGTAAATAGGTTAAAAAAAAACCTTATAACGTATTATTGGTGTATTCGTTCAAAGAAGATGATATCGCAAAGGAAAGTGAAAAGTCTGAATTTTTAATTTATCAAATTTTTATTTCACTTACTCTGTCAAAAATTTAAATTAGTTATAACATTTAAAAGCGATCTTTAAATTTGCTTTACTCTCCTGTTGCTTTGCTTTATATAAAAGTTGCTGTTTCTCAATTTTGCATTTGATTATATCATACTTTTTTATACATAAAAACCTGATGCAAATGTCGATTTACAACTACATCCAGGTTTGCGTTCCTGAAATACGCTCCAACTTTTCCTAACACAAACCCTGATAAACTGCATGCAAACTGTGTTTGTCTCTGGAAAGCCGGTTAACTCTGCCCTTTGCTATTATTTTAGCTTTTTATAGTAAATCGAGGAAGCTTTTTATTTCGCTGGCTCTCTCAACGCTGATCTACGAGAAAATAAGTCTTTAAGCGGACAAAATAGCCTTTAGTTGGTGACATCACAAGGGCTCATTGCCGACTGTTCAGTACTAAATTTAATTTCCACGCCATTGTTCCTGGACATGCTCCGAAGTATGTTCATAACGGCGCACCGAATGTGTCTCATCTTCCAGCAGTATATCACAGGGTTTAAAGACGAATTCATAAAAACTAGAGTCACTGAGAAGAGATGTAAACTCTTCAATGTCACCGTCGGACCGTAGAATCGTATGGCCGTCACAGAGAACCAATAAGGCGCGTAACAAAATAAAAAAGCCACATACACGTAAAAGCTAACGAGCGCAGATTTTATAACACTCGATAAATTTTTTATTTCCCTAGGCTGTTCACCGCGTGCTTGCAAGAACTGAATCCTATTTTTATGATATCGCACGACCAAATAAAGCTTGATATAAATTACTGTCGTCCCAACAAGGCTACTTATTTGAGCAAAGGTCTGAATGATGATCTGAATAAGGCGCAGACCACTCAATATTATCAAAGAAACAAATGCACTGAACACCCATATTGAAATCACCACAGCAAGAACGCGTTTGTGGGTTACAAGTTCCTTGTATCTGAGATGAAGATTAACAGCTAAGAACCTGTCTACACTTACAGCCACAACACCAGCAAACGAAGCTTGAGAAAAAAACAGGCCGACGTTATTGAACATTCGGTAAGTGAGGCAGCTCGGGCTGTTTCGTTGTAGCCAACTGACCAGTAGTGAAGTGTAAAATGGCTGAACAAACAGACCCACACCGACATCAGAAACAACCAGACTCAAAAGCAAAGTCTTTGTCGTCTTTGGCAACGATTGAGTTTTTCGTATCGCATAGTATGTCACAATGTTTAGCATAACGGCGAGATAGGTCAGAAAATTATTGAAGACGCAGTTAGCGATGTAACTCCTGCGAAGTTCTTCATATTCAGAGGTGAAGGGAAAATATTGAACCAATGTTTCGCAAAACATAATAAGTACACAAGCAACAGAGCAGCTGAATGGAAAATCCGGCTGATCAAACGTTGGCAAGGAGCTTTAAAACTGCATCCAAATTTTGTTGTTTCAGCCTGAGGACACGTTATGATTCCAGGGGTTAATTACAGCCTTGAAGAGAACTTCGACCAATAGTTAGCATATCCTTTGACGAGACTTTGATATATTGCAGGTGAAACTTTTGCTGTGAGTTGAACTAAGTCAAACGTACCTCCAATATTTCGAGAAATGAGCGTGCTTCAGACCATTACGAGGTTACTTTTGATGTGGAGAAACTAGAACTTTCAATCAGTGCTTTCGGAAGTCGCCTGAATTCGATTTCTAGACGTGGAGTCTCGTTGTGAGTGCGAGGCTTAACAAAAAGCTTTCTAACTCGTACCGATCTCTCTCACTTCTTCCAGTTGTATATCAAGTGATGGCTCAACCTTTACTGATTCTATAAATAGCACGATTAGTGGGTATTATCAGAGAAAGTCATGTTAATTGCAAAATATCCGAATCTAAATGGTTCTTAACACTTATTTGTTTCTTTGAGTAATTAAGCACAAGAAATTAAATGTATGATTTAACCAGTCAAACTTGAAGCTGCTTGCAAATTGATTAGACAAATTTATCTACTTTGTTCATGCTAACCAATCAAAATAAAGAAAATTTAATCTCTCTTATGGGTAGGTTGTCTCATAAATGAACTGGGGTTTCGATGCAAGTCGGTTACTAGCGGTCGTCCGCCGTCCATAAGACCCTTTATATAATTACTGCTGCCTATCAAATTTCTCATATAATTACTGCCGTCTGGATAGCCTTCATACAGGCTCTAATTTTTGGGTTTAGCGTGGGCTTTCTTGCGAGTGAGTTACGAGCCGGCAATGAGGTAAGGGTGGGGTCTTAAAAAGAACCCCCCCTGCAAGCCATTTATTCACGAACGCAACATTCTGAAAGCTCAGGAATGAAAGGCTAGTTACCGAGTTGTCAACAAAAATTATTGTTAACACCACCCTTTTATGATGCTCAGAATGCCGGAAATTACATTTGCGAGCCTTTAACGGCCCATTTTCCCTGCACAGCAGTCCATTACAACATCGGGGTCCGCTGATGGAAATTGAAAAAAGGTAATTTATGACCTTTTATTTCCTTACCACTGAACCTGTTTACCGATATTAATTTACAAAGTTAAAAAAAAATTGCCAAAATTTACAAAACAAAATCATGAGCTTTAAACATATATATTAGGAAGATTTTACCAAAATCTGATTTTCTACAACAGAGTTTTGTCCACTTTGTTATAAACGTAGTGTGATAGAGGAATTTGTGTCGGTCAATTCAAGGAGCGTTGTGTTTGGTCAAATTGAAGTTGCATAACCAATAAGAGGGCTTCAAAAGAGTAGTGGTGTTGAAAGCTGACATTTGTTTTTGTTTTTTTTTTTGCGCACCTAAAGGATTAGTTTTTGAGCCGTTTAACAGCTAACTGTTAAGAGTAATTAAATGACCGTGTGTTCGACGCAAAGGAAAAACGTCTTCTGAGTTTCCTCATACACTTAAATTTTTTATCATTCATAAAGGCTTACACCGGACAACAGCCGCCTCTCGATGTTACCGAGCCCTGAGGGCGTTCGCATTAAAAGACATTAATAAAAACCTTTTACGATAAAGATGTTTAATGGCTGGATTAATTTTGAATCGTATCACGAAAAACGTTCACGCCATGAATTGTAAAGGTTCTTAGATACCTACTTGAGTTCTTTTATTTCGAAAGAAGTTCTGAGATGCCAAAAAAATTTCACTCTGTTCGAAAAAAAAAAGTAATTGATGTACAATTAGTGAGGTTATCACCGCTCAATCTACTTAAGAAAGCTTTTAAACTGGAAGTATGGTCCAGAAGATATGATCTTAATTTCCTCTTTGAAAACGAAGAAATCAATCAAACTATTAGCAGGGTTTTGAGATTCCAACGAGGAACTCAACCGTTTGAAAATTGTTCTCAAATGTACTAAAACCAACTCGTTGAAAACATCTTGCCAACGAAGCCGCACCACAAACCACAGCGCGGAGATTATTGAAAAAAAGAGCGGCCGTTTGGTTTTCTCCTAATCAGTTCCAACATATCGCTTAGAGATAGAAACATTCTTAAACTTTTAATTCCAATGAGTGACCAAGGTATCAATACGATATCAACCAGATAAGCGATGAGGATAAAGAAAATAATCAATTTGGGGATAATGAGTTGATCCAATTCTAAGTTCTCTGAACTAACATCATAAGAATGTATGGTTGACAGTAAGGAGAATTACAAATTCGATCTGGGAGTGAAAGGGTTAAACAAGACTGATCAAAATGGCAGAGACCGTCGTCAAATTTTTAGCACATTTTTTTAATAAACAATGAAGATGACGCTGAACGATTCCTCAGAGCAGTTGGTGTCACATTTTAAAAGGCTACTTTTCCTAATTGCTTGTTTTGCTCAACAAAATCAAGACACCAGGGAACATAAGTATGACAAGTTTACCTATAGGAGGTATGACACACTGCTGATGCGCACAAGGAAAAAATAAAAAGCCACATCTAAGAAGCATTTACGGATCGAGACAGCTAGCCACCAGCTGGAGCCACTTAGTAGCTTATGTAGCTAAAGGTTTAAATGGGCATCAGATGAAAATGAGGGTAGCACCGCTAAATACATGCACAACACCATGAACTATCCGATTAATAAGCGTTTTAACTAGTATCAATAGATAAAAGTAATATTCTCTAGTGGTTCCATGATGACAAATCACACTGTCTCCAAAAATTGTATGTAAAACTCTAAAAAAAAAAACTTAACAACGCCAAAACAATATTTCCAGAATATAAGACTGCCCTGAGGCTATCTGAAAGTCGTAAAGTCTGTGAAGTTTAAAACATTCTTTAGTATAATTTTTTTTGAGCACTGTAGTGCATTTTGTGGGCTTAAATGGGGATTTTAGCGGCCTGCTAAAATGTATTTAACCCGCTCGCGCGCTCGCGTGACCAATCAGGCTGTTTTGTTCTCATTTTTTAGTCATTTTTTATTTTCAAAGTGCTCTCCTAAGTGATGATGACAATAATTTAGTTTACGTTCGTGGGCATAAATACGTTTTAAGCCCTTCTCAGAATTAGTCTACCCGTTGCCTAGCGGCTAGGCTAGCTAACTCTAACCCAGGCGAAAGACATATTTACGCCCTTGAACACAAACCCTTTTGTTTTATCATCCCACGTTCGTGACGAATCATCAGTATCTCCATTTAACAGTTCACTCATAACTCTCCTTTCCAATATTATCATTTTTAAGCTTTAAGACTTTTATCAATAATTTTTCAATTTTTGTCGTTTTCAGTAAGTGAAATATTCTTAATGCTTTTCCTTGCTTCCGCGCAAGATGTTGATTCAGTGTTTTTCTATTCATATACAGAAGGCTATTTCCTTTGTTAATAAAATCAGCTCAATATAGAGGTCAAAATAACTCAAATAAAGGAAATGAATACATTGCCTTTCTCAGTGTGCTCGAGCTCTAGGCTGCAATTTTAACTTGTCGAAAGAAGCTTGTTCTCTTCGAAGGTCTAATCACTAAAAAATATATCCGATGAAGCAGCATTTTAAAGCTTAGACAAAATTAATTTTTGGTGAAAATGAACAGTTATCTTTAAATACAGAACTTGATATAAGTTCAACTAAGTTCTCGTTCCCCGCGGCCAGTCAGAACCCGCGCAGCTGCTGACTTATTTACAAAACATGGAATGAAAGATTATTTAACTCACGAAAGAATGCTTTTGATCATCTTTCGCAGCGAAGGAAAAGTAAGGGAAGAACACTTTTATTTCCTTCTCTTTGGATTTCATTACTGTCCTGAAAACCCCTGTCGTTGAGCGCAAGGCTTAAAACAGTGATGTAAGAATACAACGAGCCATCTTCTTAATCTTTTTTTTAAAGGGCCTCGTAGTTCCTGTCAGTTGTCGCTAACAGAAATTGTTTAAAATGTCTGGAGAGTACATATCTGTCGATATGAGAAAGTAAAGGTACATCTAATTGGCGTCGTAAAAGGAGTTGTAGCTTTCTTCATTAGTAGCTATTGAGATCAGACAGAAAGGCCAAAAAAAATTAAAATAAACAGCATTCTCTCGACCTTAAAAGCAGCTTATGTTCTTAGGTACAAAAAAATCTTACGGAGCACTCACTCTTCTTTTAAATTTTTTAACTGATGGTGCAGAAAAATGACCTACTCATCTCAGATATACTGTAATTATTGTGCAGTTCAGTGCGATCAGAAATGAGCGAGACCAAGAATTGTGATCTTGTCGTTACTGTTTATATATTTCTCAGCCGTTTATTGTCTCTATAGGCTTTTTTCAAGCACCTCACTGCACGTGTTAATTCGGGCAACATTCCTTACAGTGTTTGCAGCAAAGTCACGCGGCAAGATGGCCAATTAAATTGTTGCCCGTGTTACTTTACCTTTTCATGTGATGCACGCTTTGTGCTGTTGCTCAGCAGATGTGTTCTCTACGTTAATTGTAGTTAAATAAACTCCATTTCATTCTTATGGCGTCTGCGACCAACATAAATGCTGATGTAAATCATTTTCGTTCCAAGAAAACAAACTATATCTGCCAATTAAAGAAAAGCCAAGTTCTGAAAAATGAATGAGACCAGAAACAGGACAAAAGAAAACACAAGGAATGAAAAAAAAAGTGAAAAAGAAAAACAAACTAATGAAATTAAAAAATTTCAGAAATTTCTGCATTGAAAACTTGATAGCACAACGCTAACGACTGTCGTTCAACTGCATGGTCTGTCGAATTTAAGTTTAAGCTCAAGTTTGGCCTCTTAGCAAAAAAAAAAATCAAACAGTAATCAACACCTCAATTGCAATTTCTAAGCCAAGAAATATCAGTTGTAAGAGCGCAGTAAAGGTGCAACCGTCCGACTTCTCAGTTTTTCATGAAAATCAGGCACAGGAAAAACTGAAATA